GTGAAGATCCCAGGTTGAATTTACAGCACTTAAGTTCAGTAAATCTACTTTTCTATATGGAAGTGCAGCCAAAGGACAGCAACACAGATGGAAGCCGAGCACTGTATTTCCAAATTTTAGAAAGGGAATTGATTTTCATGAAAAAAACCCTGTTACGAAGGCACACATGAAGTTCTACCTGCATTCAAGCACTGCCCCAGGGCAGCTGCATTGCTTCTGCTCCCTGAAACTAGCTCATGCCCTCTCCTAAGCCCATTTTGACCTCTCCGTCACACCATGGTGCACATGTACCACAGTTTAGAAACTGGCAGGATAAAGCTACAGGTGACGGTAGTATGATATGGTTAAGTTGTATTATTGTTATTGCTAATTTGTTGTTACAGTGCGCAGTTACCATGTCACTAATAAGAGTTGTGGATGGGTGCCTAGTGAGCATTCACTGTGCAACTATAAGCCCTCTGCAGAGGTATGTTAGTCCTCTTAAGGCCAGTGCCTGCAGTAGATGTTGAAGGCACCGCTCTCGCCAGCACAGCAGTCTCTCATTGCCACTCTAAAAGTACTTCAATGTGCACACAGGCCTCTCTTCACACTTACATACACTTTATTCTAGTGGCGTGCAGAAGTCAAAGCTTTTGCTTCCCCCCTGCCCCCGGCCTGTTCCTGAGGGACATAGCAGTGAAAAAAAATAACCTGGTTTGGTTTCACCACCTCAAACCCAGAGTAAGAAACTCCAAAATCAGCTTCTGCCTCTGGGACAGGGAGCAGGTGACACATGACAAGCAGGTCATGCCAAGGGCCAAGGCAAAGACCCCTCATCTACTTCATCACCAATTAAGAATGGTTCCTTCTAGTCAAGACAATAAGTGAGAACAGGGAATGACGTTTGGCTCAGATTCTTACAAAAACAACCTAACGCTACAAAGAAGGTCATTAAATGCTTTTATTGACATAAATGGTTTTGCGGTTGAGCTTACGGAGGACTGGAATTTCCTACCTCACTCCACTGCAGCTATAGTCTTCCCCTACCCTCCTCCCAAGGGAAAATGTCCAGCTGCAACTGGGCCTTCACTGGGGAGCAGTGGGCAAACACGGGCTCATGGATGGACCTCGTGGCAGGAGGAAGGACTCGTGTATCCAAAGGGGGACACAGCAGGGCTGCAGAAGGGACTGTACTCCTTTCTGCTGTGAGGTGCCTGGCTGGGCTGGGAGGAGCAGCCAGCATTGCAAAGGAAGGGACGGGGCAGGCGATGGGGATGAGGTACAGGGAGAGAGAGAGGTGAACACAAACACCCAGCAATGCAAGGCAAGGAAAACCCAGTTGCAGTGTGGAGAGCCCTTGGTAGTGACCGCTGCCGAGGAGTTTGGGGCTGCATGAATCTTAATTGCTTGGGTTTCCCCTCACCAGCACAAAAGAAACAAGACATAAGTTCTTATATAACTTTTGAACCAAGCCAGCTTTATTAAACATGGCATGCTGCCTTTCTGCCTGCCAGAAAATGCTGCCTGCTCTCTCCTCCTGTGCTCCTTGAGATAAGGCTCTGCCCACCCCTGCCTTACCTCTCACTAGCATTTGGATTCCCTCCCTTCCCTTTGCTTCCAGCTCTGGTGGCTACTTTTTTTGCCAGGGCCCTTTGGTAAATACAGTGGGGTTCAGCAAAACTTTAAGCATCCACTGAGGGACCTTCAGCCTAAATGCTTGGTGCAGCGCATTTGATGAATGGGCTTCACAAATAGCAACAGCAAAGTGTTAGCCAGAAAGTAGCAAATTCCTCAGACTGCACAGCCCCATATCTTACAAGATCTTAGACATTCGTGAAGCCTGAGGGTGCAGAGCTGTGGTCAGGAAGTGTGCTTACGGCGCAGATCTGTGTCACCTGCAGCGGCCACTGACGGCTCACTGAACCTCCTGCCATGGGCTCCACATCCCCACTCCTTCCCCTGCCCCAGACCAGGAGCTGGTGAAAAGTGATTAATTTTGTTGGGTGGTCAAGCTGCCGTGGCATGAGTGAATACCAGTGTTGGTGGTTGTGTAGTCTTAGCATGTGATAAATGCCAGGTGGCTCATTCCCCAAGCAAGCATGGTGAGATGCCTTCTTGTGTTGCAGGGCAGGGCTATGTCAATTGTACTATAGTCAATTGTCCTAGTATCTAAGGCAAATAGGGACCATTGTGGTCATCTAGTTTATGCAGTAGACACAAACTAAAGGACTAATCAGTGAAAGAGCTGCTGGAGCTGTGTGGCAAGAGGAGGTGAAATACCAATGATGAAGACCGTAATACATTGGGCCTGTAACGCACCTGGCTCCATTCAGAGCTGTTAGCTCTGCTTCCTGGAATTGCACTATTGCAAATAACGGACCAAAAGAAATAAAACAGGATGGACTGATCTGCAGCACACTGTACTTCTCCTCGTGGGACAGCAGCATGCCTTGGTTATCTTTCCACACACATTACACAATAAGACCACTGATGTTTTTTCTGACCGACCAGCTAAAACATCTACTTAATTATACTCCGGGCAGACTGAAAACAACAAATGGAGATCTGTCAGCATGTTTTGTCTAGCCTTTTTAGGAACAAGTCTCTGAGGTTTTTGGAGACCATATTTAAGAGGCTTTTTCTCTCCACTCCCTTCCAAATGGCCCATTTGCTTTTGTTGGATTAAAGTGCAGTCAGGCATCACAAAAGCAGGGATATGTTTAGTTTCCAGCCCAGTTTCTGGATAATGCCTAGTTTGCGAGTGGTAATTCCAGTTGTTTGTGCTGCTACGGGACTGTAATTGCTTTCTATCAGCAAAGTCCCATCTGCTGAGGATCTGCCAGGCAATGCTCTGGATGTGAGACACACCCTGACATTGCACTGCAATGTGAGACTATGGGGAGCTTCCCTTGCTGAAATTACGTGATTAAAAGGAGCACAGTAGGTGATGAGAGCTGCAGGATGACTGCCCAAAGCTCCTTAAGAAGGCTGGACCCTGTCTTTCAGTGGAGTATGGAAAGGTATCACCAAAAACCAGTTTGCAGTGAAAAAGCAGAGCGTGTGACTTGGCACAGCATCGCTTCCTAAAGCCTCAGAGGAGTGCATGTGGTTAAGCCCTGGAACTTCAAAGCAATAAGATGAAGGAGGGTTCAATGCTAGCAAAATTGAAGGTTTTTATAGGAAATAAATGGCTTTGTGTCTCATGGAAGAGGTAGGAGTCCCGGGGGCAGAACGAATTATAGAGGAGGTTGTGGAGACAGAGGGAGCCAAGTCTGGAAGAAAGAAGTGAATAGACAAGAATGAAAGAAAATACATGGTGAAAATGGGGTGCAGTAAGGCCTTCTAAGGCTTTGTAACACTCTTCATAGTTAATTGGTATTTACATTTATGGGTGCTTTACGGCCTTGGGTTTATTGATATAAAAAAATCCCACTCCACCCCATGGAGCTACATAGGCAGATGCTGTCTACGGGAGATGGTGCTGGCAGTAAATCCAGAGGCGCTGGTTGAACTGCAAGCAAATACAAATACAAAAAACAAATACACCAGCAAAATTCTGCAAGAGCAATGTGAGACCAGACTGTAATAATTTCCCTCCTTTCCTCAAGTCCAAGTATACAAAGGCAAAGTACCCAGCCAGTTGTGCAAGAATAAGGAGCCTTGGGGCCTCTCTGTTTGACAGTGCACTGTGGCAAACCTCACCCCATCCCCAGCGGCATCAGCTGCTTCCCTGTTTTAGGCTAAATTTACCAATGGAATGTAGCAACGGCGCACTAGTGAGGGTCGGCACAGGGGTGCTGTGCAGAGGGGCAGGCACCCTACCCTGGTGATGGCCGCTGCCAGTGGGGCAGAGCTGCAGGATCATGGCTATGTGGGGAGCAAGGGGCAAGAGGGAGGCTGGAGGGTGAAGGACACAAAGGGTTGGGGGTCTGAGGGAGGGTGAGGAAGTTGCCAAAGTCTTGCTGTGTCTCTGAATGATAACCCGTGACAGGTACAACGTGGTCGCTGAAGTTCATGCTCTCTCCCATTGACAGTTGCCTGTGTTTGAAAAACAGAAGCTTTTGCAATGTTTTTGGGGTTCTTAAATCTCACCGATTTCCGTCATGTTGTCACAAAGCTGAGCTGGGAGACAGCTAGTGTTTAATCCCTACTGAAAACGAATCAAAACAGGAAACCAGTTTGCCTCCGAAGAGCAAACGCATTTGCAGTGAATCCTTCAGAAACATGCACCAGATACCAAGCCTTAGCTCAGCTCCCGCCTGCCGCGTGCCGGCGTCCGCCTCACCCCTCTCTTGCAAAAGCTGGGTGCCATTCACCAAGGATTCAGTAGGAAATAGGGTACGCCAAGGTAGTTGGGATACTTGGATGTCTGTTCTTTTCTTATCCTTTCTTAACTGCCCATACTGTTATCTAGGTAGCTGGTATATGATGAATAATAACACAGCGGAGGCTGCCAGAAAGATAGTTTTGTCGGCAAGTTTTTGAGGATATTATTTATTTCAACATTTCCTGTTATTTTTTCTTAGCTAAAATCCCAGACAGAACAAAAACAGAGAAGTGTTTTGTTTCTTGGAAAATAGATGCAGTAAATGAAATTTTCAGTATGCAAATATTTTTTTTAATTAAATGTTTATTGTTTTATAGCTTTTCAGTATGAAACAGGAGTGTTAGTAAACTGAATGTTTCATGAAAATAGTTCTTTTTGGTTAAAAAGGCATTTCATTTTGTTGGAAGAAAAAAAAACAAACATGAATTTCAAACAAAGGTTTTGACTGGTTCTCTAAGAATCCATGTCCTGAATTAAAATATATGTATGTGCATATATGTATGTGTATGTGCAATTCATATAGAGATGCCATATATAAGAATAATTCTTTATACTTTTAAATGTCTTACATAATCAGTTAATTTGCTTCTGCTCCATTAAAATTAAATCTCCTGTGGACATGACAAGTCTTGTCTCATTATTCACTTAATCCACAGTCATTAGCATTAACGAAGTGCTTTTCTCTGTCTTTTAGAAAAAAAGGACTTTGAAGGGTTGTGTGGAACTTTCCAGGATTAAATGTGTGGAAATTGTGAAAAGTGACATCATCATTCCCTGTCAGTATAAATATCCTTTCCAGGTGAGTCTGTCCGTTGACCACACTGATAGAGATATCGCTTCATTTTGTATTTCAATAAAATTCTCCCTCACAGTGCAGTCGTTAATGAACCCAACACCAGGGTGAATAACAACAAAGGAAGAAAAAGCAGATCAAGGTTTGAAATGAACTGGGGAATCAGAGACTGAGTGTTATTACAAGATCCATAAACTCTTACACTCATTGGTTTTAAATTGGAAAGCATCATTAGATCTTCTAATCCTATCCCATGTTTAACACAATATTCAGCTATCTCACTAACTCATGTTCAGAGAAAGCCCATCTTTCACACGGGGAATCCACCCAGGGTTTTGGCCAATTTACCTGTGTGGTGCTGAAACCAAATCCATTCAGCGGCCTTTGCATCAGAAAGTGGTGAATGTGATGCGTTAGGGAGACTATGCCAGACATGAACAGAGAGGGCTTTTAGTGATGAGATGGCTTAACGACCAAGAGGCGGACAGTGCTAGCTCTAGGATGAGGAACACATTGTCTAGTGTTAATTATTAATACATATGGGATACATTTACATTGTCATCTAAACAGAAATGCCACAGAATATTTGCTCAGTTATTGCAACACAAATTCCCAGTTTATTGTTATTCCCTGGGCTGCCATTTATCAGAATTTTATCATACTGGTGACAATATTTTTCTTAATAATTATGGTGTATGGATTTCAGCGAATACAGGGCCATCTCTGTTCACAGATGGCCTTAAAAGAGTGAATTATCTGGACTCAGATTTGCAGATAAAAGCTAACGATTGTGACCCATGTACACAATAAATGTCAAAAAAGATAGATAACTTTAAAAAAAGAAAAAAGACAACCATAAAGCAAGATGAGGTTGGTTTTTTTTTTTTTTCTGTTCTTGTTATCTCAAAACCAGCATCAATTTGGAGGCTTGGCTTGGTACTGTCACTCTGACAAATCATGAAGTAGCTTGTAGAGTTTTCTCTAATTCTTCATTTGAACAGTAAAAGTGCATATCCACCATGCTCTAGTCTGAGCCCTGGAAAATGTTACCTTGCAGAGATAGCAGAAAGGAGAGGAAATAATTTCCCAAACTAGGTTGGGTCAGGAAATCCTCCCTCCAGCTTGGGGTGGTCCCCAGCCAGGATCATAAAAATTGTCCTGGAATATTACAAAATGTTGCTAAGTTGGTGCATAATGAGCACTCAAGAAAGCAGATGATCAGAGTGTTACGGCCTTGTTTACGGGCATTTGGGAGCCGCAGAAGATGCTGTCGTACGCTGCAAACGGCTCTCGATGAGCGGCCCAACAGGAAAGCTCTTAACTGGGTCTGGGTAGGAGCTGCCTGGCTGTGGGAAAGCTTGATGGGGGAACCTCAACTGCTCTTAACTTGAGTGAACATGGGCTAGAGGAGGAACAAATGCTCAGATCTGTTTGGTTTCGGTCTGAATTTTCAAATCTGTATCTCCATATCTCGAATGCTTGTAGGAACAGCAAAATAAAGTGTAGGTAGTGGCCAGTACTTGTGGGATGGTAACAGTGATGATGGACAGTGCTCCAGTGAGGTTGTGGTAATCACTCCTGGTTGTAGCACATCTGAATTTTGTCCCACAGTCAATTTTGTGGTATTTTGTAAAATTGTATTGTCTGGAGTTTTTTAAAAGTATCTTGGCTGCACCCAGCTGTAAATCTTCTGTGGAACCACCAGTGGTTTTTTGGTCTTGTGTGGCTCATCTGGCAAGTGAGCCCTTTGCAGACAGGCATGAAATGAGTGATTTTGTGCAGTTGTGCATGCTCATGGCTATGTCTTTTGAGACCTGCTCACTACATATTTCAAAATCTGCCTTAGATTGTCAAAACACTATACAGACATAACAATAACATCAACAGGAGTGGCTTTAAATGAGTGGGAATTATTCCTCCCCTTTTTCTATTTTTTGTAAAAGAGGTTATAATTTATCCCTCCGTAGCATGCAAAGCAACTGAGTCACACGGCTGTCTGTTGTGTGCCTGCAAGGGCTTCAGGCCAAGAGATAGCAAATATTTCCTGTTCTTTAAACAATAATCAACATTGCCTCATCTACACCCCTGGAGAAACTTTTAAAAACAGCTGCTCTCTTGTAGAAACCTCTGTTTAAAGACAGCGGTCAAAGTTTTTCAAAGCATCTGTGCATCAAAGAGACCAGGTCCCATTTGGAATTAAATTGTTGAGATAAATATTGGAAGAGAAATATAGATTATGCATTACATAAAATTTTAGGCCCAAATGTAGTCATCCTATTCAGTATCTGAGTCATTTTGGTTCTTGTGATGATTTTACTCCCTGGTCTGAAACTTCACAAATATTCTGTATTTCTCTTCCTTTGTTTGTTCATCATTAAGGCCAAGTTGATGAAAACAGCATCTTGATTGCTCAGTGTTCATCTGCTCCAGCTTCTTATTTCCCCTCTATAATCCCAGTGAAAGCTATTAAAAACTTTGAATAATGACAGTAAACCAAATAATCTCCAGGGAGTTGCTTGAGATTTATACTGACACAAGAAAAGCTACATTTGGCTCTTAGATCTTAAGTGAAGGTATCTTACAAGAAACTGCTAAGAAACAGATGCCTTTTCCCCAGGCTTGCTTTAGAAGAATAAACTGCAGTCAGCAAGTAACGGGCTGGATCCTCTGCAGACTGAAATTGCTTTGACTCCATTGATTTCACGGGCATTTCCTAACAGCATAAAATGGATCTAAAACATTGCTTGTCTAGAATTCTTTCTTGATCAGGGCTTCTACTTCATTTTAAATAATCAAAAGTCAATGAGGTTAAGAGATGCTTCTGAACAGGCCCTGTTACTCTACTTCCCCACATCATCATCTTGTGTGTAATTTGTTGGTATGGGGGTTGCTATCTGTTTCCTTCAGCGACTCCTTCGCGCCCAGCGTATCTGGGATTGTCTCTAATGGCTGGCTCCTTTCTTTACTTCCCTCTACAGATCGTCCATGATAACTACATACTTTATGTGTTTGCACCCAATCGTGAGAGCCGGCAGAGATGGGTCTTTACGCTGAAGGAAGGTAATAAAACCCCTGTGCCCACCTAATTGTTGAAGTTACTTATCCCAGACAGTTTTCTCACAAGTTATAATACAGAGAAAATGTGCGAGAGGAGTCGATGTCTTATATCTAAGCATGCAAAGTGGTAATGGGGAATGAGGTTATAAAATCAAATTGCTTGTAAATTTGGTGGGTGTGTTTTCAGCAGCAGTGGCAAATTTGGACATGGAATGCTTTATTTGCCTCTTTCTAGAACAAACTCTTAATATGTTACTGTAATTTGAGGTTTCTTATTCAGGAAGAGATGAGGGTTTTTATGTGGCTAATTTTTTTTTAGAAATTAATCTTTTCTGGGTAGAAGATTTTTCAGCTGTTATTAATAGATTTTTTTGTTTAGATTACAACCTTCTTAGAGAATCGTGATTATTAAGAAACATTTTTGCAGGTACCTTTCATTTCCTGTTCACCTCCTGAATCGTGCTGTGGTTCGCGGCCATGATTCTGAAGTTGAAGGCACAGTAACTAACCACTGCAGGCAGAAACGAAGCATAATATTTCACATGAGGAAGGTGTTACTTAGTTACATGAAAATTGCACCAGGCTTCCGTTATAGCTTTTTCCTGCTTTATAACACAAGCTGCTGTATTGTTCACTCTAAAAACATTGTGCCTGATGGAGATATTATTAAGTTCATGCACTTACTCTTGCAACCAGTTATTCCCCTTCTGGAGTGCACCTGCTCCAAGCTTCTACTTGATCACCTCTTCTTATTCAACATTTTGAGACTGTCCTCTCCCTTGGACAATTTGGATAGTCTCTTGAAACAGGCCAGCAGAAATTTTTTGTTCTTTTTAGGAAAATTATTATTAGAGATAGAGAGCCTGAGCTTCAAAAAGAAGGACCTTTAATCACTCATGCAGACGTTCAAGACTGGTATTTACATGTGCAAAAAGTGTTTAGTGCTGGTGAATGCCAGCTTGTACAGCTCCTTCTGAACACCAAGCCAAAGCAGCAAGTGTCCATGTCCTGTGTATATACATACTGTAGAGCTGTAATCTTTCATGGGAATCATCAGTATATGGCCTGCCAGGTTTTCTTTCTCTTTATGAGACCTTCCTTCTGTGGTTTTGGTGTTTATCAGTTTAAAGAGAGAGTCCCTTTGGTAGGATTTTGTTCTCCCGCAGTAGAGAGGTATGGGCTCCGTTGCCAGCAGGAAGGCTATTCCTCCACATCAGTGATGGCGTTCACTCCTTTTGGGAGAAAGGAAAACATTAACGGAGGAGGCTGATAATATTCAACAAAGCTTGGTTTGGCAAAAATAAGAAGCTTCTTTAAAGCGCAGATTATTTCATTCAGTTCTAGATGTCTTTCAGAGCTGATGTGAATGCAAATAAGTTCATTTTCCCCCTCCTTTTTCTTTCCCTAACATTTTCCAGAAACCAGAAACAACAACAGTCTGGTTTCAAAGTGTCATCCAGATTTTTGGATAGATGGCAAGTGGAGATGCTGTGCTCAGACAGAGAAGATGGCAGCTGGCTGCGTGGAGTATGACCCCACCAAAAATGGTATGGGATTTGTTAAGACCATCCTGACCTTGAAAATATTTATTCCTAGCAAAAGTGAAGGATCAAATCTGTCTCGTACAGAACATCAAAGAATAACATGTTACATTTCCATCAAGAGATATGTTGCTGGCTTCTTGGGATATTCCTTATTCTGGCTTGTCTGTTACTGTATATGGCATTCTTTGTTTTGAATTAACATTCTCCTCTGTGCGATGCTTGGTGCTGTCTTTGGAATGAGATGGAGAACTAAGAACTTGATCAGCTGTGGTCAGTCAATAAGCCATAATAAGAACTTTCTTGAGATATATGCATTCAACCCTGTGTGTCCTATTTTGCCCTAACCGTATTTCCTCTGTGGTTTCAATGGCCAAGCGTAATCTTTACTTTGTCTCCTGAAGAAGCATATTCAATCACTCTTCACCCAAGACACTTTTACCTTGTATCTGGGTGATTCCTTAAATAATCTGTACACCAGTTTCAAACCCATGCCGTGTGGCTGAGAGTCACTGTGTAGGTGCAGGCTGTTGGCAAGTCTTACTCTGAAAGACCAAGGCTTGCTATTCACTAGTTTTGTATCGCCTTTATTAATTCATTACCTTGATGGTTTCTCCCCTGGTTTTGTCCAGATCTACTTCAAACTAGCTTTCTTGATTTCATTTCAGCCTCAAAGAAGCCTCTTCCTCCCACTCCTGAAGATAATCGGGTGAGTGCAGTGAGGCGTGCTAAGCTGTCCTTAGTGTCCTGTGTGTTTAACTAGCAGTGGTGAATATATCCTCATTAAGGTTCAACACGGTGCAGTGACCTAGAATATCACCTGTGATAACATTCCCTGGGCTTTTCTATTACCTTTTCCATATTTTTTCATAAGCTATAAATCAGCAGCATCCCACTAGAGTTAGGTTCAGTCCTGCAAAGACAGCTTGGTTTCACAAATAGCTTTCCAATGGTGGGTGAAGCTTCAACTGTATTTTTTTCAATCTATGGAAAGGGAAACTGGGGAAGTAGGAGGGATATGAGAAAAGCTGCTGTGAAGAGGAACAGCGAAGTGATTTTCCAAACCCACTTGTGGATGGAACAAAATGTCATTGGCTTATTTAATAAGAAGGGAGAAGCAGGGTGGTTGTTAGGGCTGGGTGCCTTACTGGAGGGCAGCAGGGCATTGGGACAGTCCCTCTTGGGAGGCCATGGAGATTTTATCACTGGAGGCTTTTAAGAGGAGTTTAGGAAACATCTGTGAAGAATAGATCAGACAGAGGTAATCCTGCCCTAAGAAGGAGTAGCTAACTATTTTCTGTGCAACTAACATTTTTATATGAAATTCATTGTTTGAAAGTGCTGAAAATTCTCATGTTGCCACCATACCCCACTAGACGCCCTGGAGTGCTTTCCTAGCTTTGAGGCTTTTGAACCCAGAGGACACCAGTGCTGCCAGGGAAATATCATTTTAGAGAGCATGCCATTGTTTTTTATGAATATGAATATGATGAGCCTTTTTCCTAATTTGTGCAGAAATTGTTGCTAGACCCAAAGGAAGCCTTAGTCATGGCCATATATGACTATGAAGCCCAGAATCCGCAGGAGCTGACGTTACAATATAACGAGGAATATTATGTGATTGACAGCTCTGAGGAACATTGGTGGCTGATTCAAGATAAGAATGGGTAAGTCCGTTTTCAACAGCCAATTTACAAATCCTTTCTAAATCCAATCTATTCTTCCATTAACATATATGCTGGCTTCTAGTATAACTTTTGAGAAGCGTCCTATGATATACAGGAAAAGAGTGATGGAAGGTTGTTTACGGTAACTTTCTTCCCTTTGATGTTGCTTGTATTCAGGCAGGTGAAGAAAAAGGATCTGAAAGTTAATTTAAAAAAAAAAAAAAACAGTCCTTAGCTCAGGCTGATATTCGCTGTCATACACGTGGGGGGGGAAAATTGTGAAAATTGTGAAACTCCACAAGTTTAGAGGTGCAATCAGTTGTTTCCTTCTCCAGTAACCCTACTAAATACATAACAACCAGCACTTCTATCATGCAAAGAGCAGGCAAATCTTTCGGGGCTGACTCCCACAGATGCAGAGAAAATCCTGTCTGTCTAGTGCACTCATGCCGTGTCGCATTTTAACAGACATGAAGGCTACGTGCCAAGTAGCTACCTGGCGGAAAAATCACCCGAGAATCTGCAAATATATGAGTAAGTTGTGCCTATGTTTTTCTTGTACCTCTAAGTGCCCTGGATTTGTTTTAGAAGCTACAAGCCTCAAATGTCCCTACCCCACATAATGTGTCGTCGCTAGTTCTGGGGACACTCAATTCAGAGGCTTTTCAGCAGAAACACTGACTCGGAGTCTTTTGATGTTTTCAGATGGTACAACAAGAACATCAGCAGAAGCAAAGCAGAAACACTCCTCAAGGATGAGGTAAGCCAGTGTTATGTGCGGGGTGGATGGGCAATAATAATTAATTAATGACAAATGAGGAGAAGCCTGTGAGGGCTGCTTTGCGTAAGAGAGAGCTGAACCTTGGGTTCCTGCTGTGTTGCTGTCCTTGGCTGCTCTTAGTGTGCGATGCAAGATAAAGGACCCCTAGCAACGCCCCTTACCTCCACAGCAGCTGAGTGTGGGCAGAGAGCTGTGCCATCCTTCTTCGGTCAAACACACCCAATAACTAGGGCTGATGGAAAACACCATTTCAGAACACTGTGTTGACTGAAAACTGTGATTTTAGTTCATCTTTTCTGTCTCTGCAGGAGGCCTGCGGATGCCAGTAGTTCTCTGAAAATCTAACCAATTTCATGCTGAAATATTTTGGGTGAAAGCCAAGAGTATGGGTTTGGATGGTTTTTTTTAGTTTTGTGTATGTTTGTGTGCATGTGAGCATGCATCTTTAATTTTTCAGTTCAGCCAGACTTTTCCAGTGAGACTGTAGTGAAAATAAAAAGAATACACTTCTTGTTCAAATTTTCCATGCAAACACAACCTTAGTTTTTAAATCAGCTCTTACACTAACAGAAGACCCGAATAAAGTGTTGTTTCTTGGAATGGTAGTATTTTATGGAAATAAAAGCATTTTTGTGCAGTTTTAAAAATTCTTTTAGTTCCTATAAACTCCTATGGGACATGTCCACACATGGTTTAGTGATCTTATTTTTTCCTTTTGGTCCTACCACTGCAACTTTTTGGTGGCAACTACCCCCATGTGGCTGCAGAGACTTCTGGTTCTAAACCTCGCAGACCCCACAGCTCCCCCCAGAAATGTGGCCAAGCTCATGAGTGATCTTTGGGCAGGTTTGCTGTCAAGTGAGATGGAAGGGCAAGAACAGAGCTCAAAGTAACTCAGGCAGGATGCTGTCTTGCCTACCTGTGCAAGCAACCCCACACTGCCAAGGAGATGAGTCCTAAAGCCCTCACTGTGCATGATATAGATGCTTCTACAGCAGCATCTGGAGACCCTTTTTAGAGCTTCCTTGTGCTAGATATTATATAGTGTAGATATGGCAGATGTTGTGCAGACATGCATTGAAGAGACAACCCTGGAAGGTTTACAGCTCAGTGGCCCGGTCCCGCCTGGGCAGAGCTGCATCCTGAAAGTCAGCAGTTCATACACAGGGGATGCAGTAGCAGTCTCGGCCCCTGTGTTCACCTGGAGCTGAATCAATCCAACGGGGAGGTGGGGAGGAGGCCGAGGCAGGGTGCACTTGGTGGATTAGGTTTGCACCAAGTGTTGTGGGTGGACAGAGGACATATAAAATGGAGGAAACCTACCATGTAAAGCAAAGGAGGGAACAAAATAATAAGGCACTTGGGATGCCAGATGAAAAGCATCTTTATCTGCAAACACAAGAAAAATGTGTTTTTTATTATCAATATATAGGTGTTGTGGTTTAACCCAGTGGGCAGCTAAATACCACACAGCTGTTCGCTCACTCACTCCCCCCTGCAGTGGGGTGGGGGAGAGAATCGGGAAAAAAAAATAAAATTTGTGGATTGAGATAAAGACAGTTTAATAGGACAGAAAAGGAAGGAAAAATAATAATAATAATGATGATAAAAGAATATACAAAATAACTGATGCACAATGCAACTGCTCACCACCTGCTGACCGATGCCCAGCCAGTTCCCAAGCAGCGGGCTGTGCCCCCTCCCAGCTTCTCGCTGGCAGAGCATGGGAAGCTGAAAAGTCCTTGACTAGTGTAAGCACTGCTCAGCAACAACTAAAACATCGGTGTGTTATCAACATTATTCTCACTAAATCCAAAACACAGCACTGTGCCAGTGCTGTGCTAGGCTTCTGCTAGGAAGAAAATTAACTCTATCCCAGCCGAAACCAGGACAATAGGTCAGCACAGCACATTACATCCAAACTTACGTTAAATCTTCTCCTCTGCCATCTGATCCATTAGTGCTTGGCCCTGCGGGATCATGGCCTATGATACATTTTATCACTCAGATGAGTAGAAAACAATTACAGTGAAAAATTAAAAAGGAAAATTGTTCTGTGAGTGCCAGAGTGGAGGAAGCCTGCTTTCCTACACACTTATGTTTAGATACTGGATGACTGGGGTACCTATGAAAGGGCAGGATCTTGTCCAAGCTTTTCCCATTTGTGGTACCTTGATAAATTATCTTTCATACACTCCCATATGGAGTCTCTGGTGTTGAAGAAATTGTACTCTTGTTCTGTAGCTGCTCTCTCGATGGAGGACACTCAAAGGGGTTTGCCTTTCCAATCGGCTACCCATTTCATTGAACTTGTTGGAAATTGATATCACCAGTATTCGGTCAGATAGGGTTGAAAGCAACCAATGGGTTCAAAATTTCTCAAGGAGAGGCTTGGAGGGACAGAGAGACACATGCTCATGTACCTACACCCACACATACTCAGCATGAGCGCATAAGTCTCATTTCCTCAGGAAACTGAGCTAAAAATACAAAGCACCCAAGAGAGACCAGCTGGGTGTACCTGCAGGCCCTGGGCAGCCATCAGAGCTGTCCATGGAACAGACCAAGCTCTGTCAGCTGGCTGATGACTTGGTTTTTTCCTACATGTTTAGCACATCCTCATGACTGAGCAGTAGACAGGGCTGAAACAAGCAGAGTTTCGCCCCAAGCCCGCTTCTTTTTTCCCATTGTGTCTCTAACCAGTTTTCTCTCCTTTGCTCCTGTTACAGGGTAGGGAAGGTGCCTTCATGGTGAGAGATTCGAGGCAACCTGGCATGTACACAGTCTCTGTTTTCACCAAAGCATTAAGGTACAGCTGAAATCAGCAGCTTTTCGCATCAATTACATCAATGAAATGGCTTCTATGAGAGTGTAATCTCTGTAGTTATTTTGGCATTATAAAGAGAGAGCAGAAGGCTCATGAAAATGATAGAGGAAAACACTTCCAAAAAAGGCAGAAGAGTTAGCTGCCATTCGCAAAGTATATTAAAGGCTCCTCTTCTCCCTGCATCTAAATATATGCCTATAAATAGTCCCTTAGACATCACGGGGGTTGTAATTTTGATGAAATTGTCCCCCCAGCTGAAGCATCAGTAGGATCAATGTGGACTATATGCTGGACTCATCAGAGGTGGGTAATACAAGACTAGTGAAAGGGTTTCAGTGATGGGGCAGAATGTTTTGTTTCAGAAATAAGAGGCAGAGAAACTTAGTACTCAGCCTGCTCTTATCAGGAAACCTCAGCCTTTCTAGAGATGAGACCATCTATGAATGAGAGGAAGAACATACAAGTACACAGGTTTCTTTAGCAATTGCAGCTCACTCCTTGCTCCTCTCCCATTCATTCTGCATAAGAAAGCTTCTCCCCTTTGCTTGCTTGCTCATCTCCCACTTATTCCTCAAATTCCTGTCTTCTTGCTGCAATCTAGTTTTCCTCAAAGAAAACCTCATCTTTTTCAGCACGGATAACAATCCTGTTATAAAGCATTACCACATCAATGAGACAACTGACTTCCCCAAGCGGTATTACTTGGCAGAAAAGCATGTGTTTGACTGCATCCCTGAACTCATCAACTATCACCAGCACAATGCGGCAGGTGAGTGAAGGCTGATGCTGGCCAGGGCAGTTGCTGTTTTACCATGCAGCCAGGTGACTGTTTTGAATGAAGGAAGGCTCCCAAGCCCTCTGTCCTTACAATGAAATGTTAAATGGCATCACCTTTTCTTCCACTTTATCCTGGCAATTGGATGGCAGGAAAATTACCATCTCGGGCCAGCTTTCAGCATTACACCTTCTAAGGCTGATATGACCAACACAGATGCCGTAATGACATACTACAGAGAGCCCTTTCATTCCTGGGAGTCTGTGGGGGTGTGTCACCACTGCCAGACCAAGTTATCTGTTTGAGTTACACTGCAGGGCCTTCTTGCCCAGGAGGTGATATATCCCTGGGCCTTGATTTGACATGAACTTAGGGACATGGCCAGGATCCATAACCAGACATGGGAGTCACCAAAGACTCCCATTCCTACAGTCCAGGAGTAGTACCAAGGGAAACCCTGGGCTTCAAAAACACCCTACAAATAAAAGGTATAACTTGGAATTTTATCAGACTTAATAGAGACTCACAGCTCACATTTGCTGACAGAGTGAAAGTGGGAAATAAGCTGAAACTGCTGAGAATTGGCTTCCTTTTAGCAGGTTGGAAATCACAATCTCAATAGAGGTTCAGCTGCCCTCAAGTGGAGCTGAGAACTCAGTACAATAAATCTGCTTCCAGTATCCAGAAACCCTTCTGGGGTAGTGACAGCCACACTTCCCATGACTGTGACAATAAACAGAACCCCTCTTTTCCTCTGTTATTCAGGTCTTGTCACTCGTTTGCGGTATGCGGTCTCTTCTTGGAGAAAAAAGGCCCCAATCACTGCAGGGCTGAGCTACGGTATGGAGTTGCCCTCTTGACCATGTAGGAATCACACTTCTTGCTGGTTAGCTGGGTGATCCTGAATATCCCTATGGATATTGATGAATATTCATATGACTATAGCCACAATAAATAGCTTTCTTCAGATCTTTACACTGCACCATTCACTGGATTATCATCTTTGTCATTACCATTGATAACTGAATTAACTGATTGTGCAGTGCCTTGAGGGAGGTGATGAGAACCCCAGGGTCTCAAAGAAGTCAACATTAAATACTGAAATGAATGCTTAACAAAGGTGATGGGAGTGGGAGGATAGCATAAGTTGATGAAAGATGAGTCCCTCCTGAAAGATGCCTCTATTTGCATGTAGTAGTCTACAGAATTTTACTGGTATCATCTTTATTGTAATTCTTGGAGACATCAAGGAAACTCAAAACCATGTTGTGCTCGGTAGTGCACATATGCATGGTAGAAACAATCCTCCCTGAAGAACTGGATAGACAAGGCAAATGGGGAAAGAAAGGGGATGTTGTTGTTCCTATTCTTGAACATCATCAGCAGCATGGACTAGTCAAATGAGCTACCAAAGTTTAGACAGACAATTTGAGGGAGAGCCAGAAAGTCTCACTCTGAGTCCTGTCTTAATGTTTAACCAACAAAAGATTTTGGTTTGACATTTTACTGCTAGATCCTCACTCTTTCTCCCTTACAATCAACAGGAAAATTGGTCATTAACCCCTCTGAGCTCACCCGTGTACAAGAAATTGGCAGCGGTCAGTTTGGGGTGGTCTACCTTGGCTATTTGCTGGAGAAGACAAAAGTAGCCATAAAGACCATTCGTGAAGGAGCAATGTCTGAAGAGGATTTCATCGAGGAAGCTAAAGTCTTGATGTAAGTAGTAGATTCACCAAGAAAATCAGACCCTGTAGGATTCACAAGACTGAACCAAAGTGTTGTGGTAATGTTCAGGAATACAAATGCGGAATTTAAACTTGGATTATCTACTATGTGTCTAAATAGTATATAGAGAGGCAGGTGAGCTCCAGTGGTTACAAAGGAAAGCAATTAAAAATGTAAGTGAATTACTGTGCTTGTAAGTCTATCAATATCCAGAATGGTCTTCCAGATCTCTGCTGTTCTAGAAGGCAGGGTTAATTGATGGTGTGTTGTGGACAGCTAAGTGGGTTTTGTCAGAAATAATTAGATGAAGAAACCTCATAAAATTTGAGGGAAATTTTATTGAAAAACCTGACCTGCGCAATTTTTTTGCTTTGCACAACTGAAAATATTTCTCCTTGGTTTTATTGACTTTGTATTTTTTACATTTCCATCCCTTCAAAGTAGACAGAAATGAGGTTTTTTTGTTTGTTTGATTGGATGATTTTCCATGCAGAAAAGTCTTTTGGTGACCATTACCATTAAAATGGGATGATACTTAGTGCTACTTGACGTTGGTCTACACATTTTCTTCTTTCTGCTTTCATAGTTGACCTTTGCAGAGAAGAGGGATGCAGCAGGGTGACATAGGCGGCCGTGTATAACACACTTGCTGTAAGGATAGAAGGCACTGAGCCTATTTCAGCCTCTTTTTCCACCTTCCCTCCCCATCCAACAGGAAGCTGTCTCACCCCAAGCTAGTCCAGCTTTATGGTGTGTGCTTTGAGAACGCTCCCATTTGCCTGGTGTTTGAGTTCATGGAGAACGGCTGCTTGTCCGACTACCTCAGGAGCCAGCGGGGCAGTTTTTCAAAGGAAACCCTGCTGGGGATGTGCCAAGATGTGTGTGAAGGAATGGCTTATCTGGAACAAAACTCTGTCATCCACAGAGATCTGGTATGTTGGTCCCAGACAGACTTTTCCTCTGCTCCAGCTAGGCTTTTCCCTGTGCTTTCTCCCTTCCTTAATTTCAGCTTTCACACCCCTCCTGCCTATCTGTTGACAGGGGATCCAGCATCGTCCCTTATTGCAGAAGCAGCATCAATACTTTAGGAAAAAAAGCATCCCCTGGAGCGCTGATTAATCTATTTCCCTTAATTGTGTTTGAGAGAGAAGAAATGAGGACATAAAGTTTGTCTCTTTTTCTGAGTGGACTCTTTTGCTCCCCGAGAGCCCCAGCTCCCACAGTTCCCAGGGACTGACCACTCTTCATGTCTAAAAACATTGAAAATGCCAAAAAGACCTGTTTAACATAGCATAAACATGCATTGCTGATAAAATGCTTTTAAATACGTGGTGTTCAATCAGTCTGCATAAGTCACTGCTGCTGTTTCGTTAGGGGAGCAAGGACTGTGGGTAGCTGTGGATATTTTAGGGTCTTTCTCTGCCCTTTCTGGGCAACGAGGGCCTGCAAGTCAGACTGATGGTTGAACAGCTTTCTTGGCAACAGGAACATGCTGGCAGTAAAACGTACAGAAAGCATGAGAATCTCAAGTTTTTGCCCTCTTTGTATGGTACAATGTCTCTTTGATTCTCCTTTTTTTAAGCACTATCTGCTCTGCCAGGATAAAAGCAACTGAGTGGCTGTGATAGTCTTTCAGCTCTGACCTTCTGCCTTTGCACCTTCTTTTCTTGCAGGCTGCTAGGAACTGTCTGGTGGGGGAATCCCACGTGGTCAAGGTGTCCGACTTCGGGATGTCAAGGTAATGCCACCAAGGCTGCGCACGCTCCCTGCGGGGCTGTCACGGGATGGGTGCGTTACTCAGCACGCTCCCTTCTTTTCCTTTTCCAGGATTGTCCTTGATGATCAGTATACCAGCTCCACGGGTACCAAGTTTCCAGTCAAGTGGTCTGCCCCAGAGGTTTTTTCCTACAGCAACTATAGCACCAAATCTGACGTTTGGTCATTTGGTAAGAATCAATTGTCAGAATGGAAAAAAATTCAACAAACGCCAGTTCAGAAAAACCTAGGGGCTCAGTACTCAAGTAAACGCTCCTAAACTCTACGTCCTCTGGGCTCCAAGGGTGTTTTGCCTGAATAATGGCTTAGGAAAGCAAGCCTAAGTCATTTAAGTGAAAGAAAGGAAAGAATAGCAAACTACCTAGGCGCTTAGGAACACTGCAAATACTGCCAACTTAACGTATTATACCTATGCAATGTTATGTAATACCAAATAATGAACTCTGTTCATGGTGATATAGCAGGAGTGCCCAAGACAAGGTTGGAGAGTCACTGACAAGATTATATAAGGAAAGGAAAGGAAAGACATTTAGGCACTCTGTCTCTCTGCATGTCAGTCCTGGGCACTGATGCTTCTCTCAACCCCTCTGCCTTTCCAAGTTTGCTCTGCTGACTCCATTTACTTTATGCCAGTCTGAAAATATTATTTCACTGCTCACATTTTCTCACCTCATTTCCTGCTCCCCAATGCATTGTTTTATGATTTGCGTCTGTTCTTTGGTCTCCCTTCTGGACCCTCATAGATAAGAAAGCCATTGTATATTTTTTTCCCCAAAGTCATCAGCACTGGAGATAACAAAGGCTATCCCCTGGCCTGTTGATCTGGCACACTAATGTATCTGGCCGGTCTCCAACTAACATGCAAATCGTGGTACTGCAGAATGAATCAGTGCAGTGTGCTGTGCACAGCACACAGTCAATGGGGTGCCACTCAGCTCCGGGCCTAGCAGTAAATAATGCAGGATTATAACCTTTGCTAGTCTGCGCTTGTGAATTCTGCTCTTCCCTCTCCCTTTACTGTGCTCTGCTGTGGAGCTCACGCTGGTTGAAGTTGTGCATTCCTGTGGTGGGTTACGAGCAGCGCAGTGGGAGCTGGGTGCTCAGACCCACGCAGCAGCCTTCGAGAACCCAACCCGGAGATGCTTCAAAGAGCACCATTACCTCTTTCTGTGTCCCCTGGCATGTGGAGGAGGCTGTCAGCACTCACCACGTAATACCAAGGGACAACATTTGCCAGTTGAGCTATCTCTGACACCTCACAGCAAAGTGGCAGTGACATGGGGAGAGATGCTACTTTGCTAAGAATGTTCTTCTGCGTCACAAATCAGAAACTGGCCTGTACACTGAGAGCCAGATGCTTCCAAAAAGGGTGCTCAGTTTGATTTACAGTCAAGTCAAGCCTGGTGAAGTTGGCTCACTCCAGTTTCCGGGCTGAATGAAATACCGGTGAGCTTTGTTTGCGTTGGTCAGTCCTTCTTTGTGAAATGTGCAGACAGCAGCGTTGTACATTTGTCAGACTTGTTATCTCCCCATCCAGTGGGGTTTGCATAAGAGGATTCCTCTGTCATGTCATGGTCTCATGACTGTGAGAAGTTTTCTGCTCCACTACTCTGCAGCCCATTCATCTCTTCTGCCAGGCCTGAAATCCTGCTGTGCCCAGGAGAACAAAAGGGGTGTGAGAAATTCCCAGTGCAGGAATCTGCACACTGGGGGAGTACAACTGCTTTGCTTATTCTTCAGTGAAGCCAATATCATTGGTGAGGAGCTGCAATCTCTGTGCATCTTCCTATTTGAAGAATTCAAAGCTGAAAAGCAGGCATTATTTAGCAAAGTTGACTGTGGAGTTACACAACTTTATTTCAGATCAGTCTATCTATCTGTCTGTCTCCCTATTCTAATTTGAACACAGTTTACCAAGTCAGTCATATTAGGTGACCAAAGAAATTAAACCTAATAATGTAACAGAGGTGCCTTGCATTCACTCCATTTGCAGAGCCTCTCTGATCTGGTGGCCAACCACAACGTATTCTACAGTCTTGTCTTTGCCTGTCTCTCTTCCACCACGCTAGAGAAGCACGAGTTTCTGTACTGCTCTGAACAGTAATCACAGGAAAACATTTGACTCTTTAGGAAAAGAGGAAAAATGTGCTGCAATCCTTTGAAATTCCACTGTCATTGCCTGTGAATTCATCCCAGTGAATCACACCACCTGGGACGTTTTGCAGGCAAGGAGTTCCCAGTACCGAGGCTAAGCTGACTAACAGGAATGGAGCAGTTCATATTGCTTTCTTGCTCCCGAGTCCCACCAAAATACACGCAGATTCTGGTGTAGGACACACTGCAGGCAGGAACATCAGTGACATGTCCCCTGTATGTGATTAACTGAAAGCAAAAATAGGTAAACTGCATCAGTGACAAAAAGCGGGTTCTCCTTCCCAGATTACACATCTGGATGGAATACATGCACAAGCATTCCCTCTTCTTCACAGTTTGGGAGACGGCATATGACGCTGCTCTGCTTCTGACACGTAACACACTCAGATTTCATCTGACTCATGGGGAAGGACATCTGTCATGCTAGACTATCATGAAGTAGGATGCAGAGAAGTCAAACTTGTAGTGGCCAAACTGGTACTTCCACACAGTCTAGTGCCCAGCAGAGATCCTAGTTGGCCTCCTCAAACTGTACAGCTGTGTTAGGGCCTGATTCTTCAGATGCGTACTGAGAATCCAAGTCAAAATGCTTTTCCAAGTAACAGACACCAATGTTGCGCTGCAGAGAAGAGCAAGTGGAAGGTGGCCATGGGCCTGCTGAGGATTTTATTTGCTTCTTTGTGATTTTTCTCATTTGTTTGCTTTAGGAGTGCTGATGTGGGAGGTCTTCAGTGAAGGTAAAATCCCCTATGAGAATCGCACCAATGGAGAAGTGGTGGAAGAAATCAGTGCAGGATTTCGGCTCTACAAACCCAAGCTGGCCTCCAAGGCAATTTATGAGGTCATGAGCCACTGCTGGAGGATGGTTAGTATTGTAATGGGAAAGCCCTAGTTCCCAAAGTCAAGAGCTTTCTTTCCCTTGACTTTTAGGAGGAGAAAGAGGTATACACTTCACATGCTAACGCAAGATAAAATCCTGGAGGTGAAGCACTCTGTAGCTTTCATCTGCGCTAGCAAGCAAACTCTAGGCTCTTTGTCTTTTATTTAAGCTGCTATTTCTATAGTGTGTTGACTTCACTGAGAAGTCTATATAGTGCACCTAACTCAAGTTAATTCAACAGTTTGCTTCCTAAGAAAGCTGCAGATCTGTGGGGCTGAGTTTTAATAGTGATGGTAAAAATGACAGCCAGCCCATTACAAGGTACTTAGTGTCCACTAGGCAAAATTCACTGCTAGTAGAAAAGAAACATTACACGGAAGGAAGCTCATTCTTCCGTTGGCATTTTCTCTATAACAATAGATTGTATTTTTGTTAATACTCAGTTTCTTCACAAGGTTTTCCTTCCTAACCTTGCCATTCCTCTCAAGCTGACATTAATGTTCTCCCTCTCTCTTCTCTCCCCGGCTCAGAGGAAAGATGACCGGCCGTCCTTTTCTGTTCTGCTGTATCAGCTGAGTGAAATCTCTGAGTTTGATCTGTAATCATGGCACCAGCCGCTAAGCGAAGCTAAGAGAGTCCTGAGAGGGCAGATGGCTGGATTTTCCCCACACAAAGCATTAACAAGAATCCTCTCACCACAGACACTTGCCATATGCCTGGGGAGAAGGAGAGGGCAGAGGCTGGTACTTCCAGACAGACAAGATATCCCCAGGTCTTCCAGAGCCTAGACAGATGTAGGCTTTGGTTTGGCCAAGAACGTGGTTTGCAGCTTACAAGCAGAACCAGCAATTGAGCACAGTCCTGAACCACACAATCCAGCAAGTGTATTTCTCCTGAAGATACAGCCTCAAAACTAAGAGATCTGACATTGCTATTCCAGTTCTGTGATTCCCAAATTAAAGTCTTCCCTGGGGAAAAAAACCCTGTCTTTGACTGAGGAAGAATGCTTAGACATATCCATGGCTCTCTAATTCAGAGTGGGCTGGACCTGAAAGTTCTGAACAGGAATAAGCCTGGGACACAGGGGAACAGGCTGGATTTAGTGACTGCATTTCTGATGGTGATATTTCAAGGTGGTTTTGTTCTCCCTTTGCATGATTTTCTCTGAAACTGTGGCATACCAGGAACAGGATTCTGGTACCTGGTAAGCTGATGAGGTGTCTGCATGTGCATGCGAGTTTGTAAGGAAGGAAGAGAAAAAGCAACGTGTTGAAGAGTCTTGAAATTCTCTCAAATTGCATTGTATAGTGAGTGGGAAAATGGGACATTCTGATGCAAATGGAGACATTCTTGGAGGGGGAGAGTCAAAGCTGAAAGTTTGTATTAGTTTTTTCTTCAGTCTTTCTACATCAGAAGATAAATACGTGATCTCCATCCAATTTCTTCGAACTGAGTACGGAGGACTGAGCAGTGCAGAGTGCTGTGTGTCTCCAGTGCAGGACGAGACAGGATCCCAGGACCTACTGATCTGTGAAAGGCACAGGAACCTACTCTTGAACTCATGTGTTTGGAAGGAAGGAGCTGGAGGGCTCAGAAGGGTAGCCATGAGGACAAAACATGCAGAGTATGTACTCAGTGCACCAGTGATAATGAGAAGAGTTTTCTCCTACTTCAGAGAGTAACTGAATCATCACAAGTAAAGACTTTTCCATCTCTTCTGTGAACAGACTGGTGAATCCTCTAGGGACTGATCAAAGAAAAAGTCCTATGTGAATGGACTGCCTGTACTCACTCCACGAGGAGTTCCACTTCATGTGGTGACAGCAGAAGAAGGTATGAACAATATCCATCTCCTGGTACTTCAGTGAAAATCTACTTTTTCACCGCAAGACAGAGACACTGTTTTGATGTAACTGACCTGAAAACCAAAAGTGTGGGTGTTGGTGTCCTGCAGAATTTGTAAATAAGACCAGGACTTTCTGCTTAGCATTAACAATAACTAGAGGAGTCAAGAGGACTCACAGATGATATGTGCATATATGCAGTGTATTTTTTTGATGCTTCTCTGTTTGGGCAGGCGAGAACATGGGGAAACCTTATGTGACAGCAGTTTACAAAAACTCTGAGGTGCAAACTTCCAGCAGCAATCTCTCCCGTCATTACAGAAGTCAGGTTCAAATACGTTTGCCAACAAAAATGGAACAAGGAAATAATGTAATCCCATGATCTCACATATCCTGTGTCAAACTATTTCTTCATAGAAGGAGGCTTAATTTTTGGTATTTTTCAGGCCCATGGTTCTAGGGTAGCTTTTAGGAGCCAGAATATCTTTTCAGGTATATGGATACAGGCAAGGCATTAGTTCCTGCCTTATACATCTTCCCACTTTGCTTTGATTCCACATTATTTTCTTTGGTTTACTCCTACAAATATCATGCAGAACGACTCTGCCAGGCAAGGAGAATCCTGACATTCTGACCAGGGGTTGTCAATCCTAAATGCAGGATCAGAGCGCTACCTTCAAATCAGGACTGCTGCCAAAATCTCTTGGTAGTCTGAACCAATATGTGGAATATGAGCATCTATAAACAAATTTTGAGTTTTTGCCTACAGTGAATTTAAGCTAAGTTTCTCTTTGTCCCTCTCATCCTTTAGTCTGAGTTAGCCCGTTGTCACATTCTGGTGATGCTAAATTTGGCATTTAGCCAGTGAAGTTTTCAGTAGCCCTAACCATGTTAAACTGCACTTCTACAGCTAAATTTGAGGACAGCTGGCCATAACCCTATTTTCTTCCCCTCTCGATTGCACTTAGACAATCCGTACAGCCACAGGATACTCTGAAAAGATTCTTCCCTGAGCACAGACACTCTGTGGCAGGAGTATCTGCAGGCTCACAGAATTAAGCTTCTGGCTTGCTGCCCCCTCCATCCTGGGAGGAACCAGGGGTCTGTTGAGCTTGAGGAGGTTGCTATTTAGCAGCAATATTGCTTCGCTAGGTAATGTTTCTGAGATTATATTTATATTTGGAAAAGTGTAATATTTATTAGCTAGAGAGTGTTGCACAAAATAATACTGTGATGTTTTATGTTCGGTTTTCTTTTGCAGTATTTCTATGTACATGATATGTATTTTTACAAACAATAAAATCGCCAAGTCCCAACTGTGGCTTTCACTCTATGTTAGCAAAAATGCAAAAACCATCCTCATGCTCTTACAATCATACAGCTTGCTCTTCCTCCAAATTCTCCCCACCAAGAAGCAAACAGGTTTCTTCTGGCTTTCTGAAATACCTCTGTTCCTTGGAACTATGGCTATGTTCTGGGGTTAGATTATGTGCTGGGTTTATTGGGGGTAGGAAGTATTCAGAATCTCTGCAAACTGGGTAATTTACTATATGGACACATAGATTTCTACATCTAAATATGCATTGTGGTGGCTTTAAATTCTCTGAATCTTCGTGAAATGGGGGTAATAATTAATAATATTTGAGTGCTCCCAGAGGCTGTTTTCCCACTACTATTTACAGGGGACTTCACAAATGAAATGGGGATAATAATTAATAATATTTGAGTGCTCCCAGAGGCTGTTTTCCCACTACTATTTACAGGGGACTTCACAAATCTCAAAAGGGCAGTGCCATATTGTGATAACATCATGATACTAACACACTGTAACACAGTCTTCTCCCACCATAGCAGTTGCTATGGCAAGTTTTGGCTTGTGGCCTTCATGTGGCTTAACTGTAGATGTTCTCCACAAAGTAGAGGTGAGAATATCAGCTGTCTCCTGCCGCAAAGTGAACAACCCTTCTCTGAATACCCCTTCTCTGTCTCCTCGGAAAGTATATGCAGTGTGCTGAATGTTTAAACCATTCCCCCTTTGCCAGTTTGACCCTCTTTGCTTGGCTGTTCTGCAGAAAGGTGGGAGTTTGTGCTTGTCCCTACTTTTGCCTGCTGGTTATCAGAGGCAGTGGGTGCACAGCTCTGCCTACGTTGCACATTTGGCCGGAGCTGAGGCCCGGAGCGCTGTTCCAGCGCATCCCCGACCTGCTGCTGCAATGGCTAAATGCTGGCACAGCCAGGCTGGCGTCCCAGCTAGGAAAGGCAGCCAAGCAGTAACCTCATCTAGAAAGAACAGCTGATGCTTCTCAGTGGAGACCACGGGCTGGAGTGCAGCAACGTTAGCCGTGAAAAGCTCTTTCCTGGGCATGTGTTGGTCACCCTGGGGAAGTGGGGGTTGTGGGTGCTTGTTCCAGTGGATAATTACCTTAAAATCAGGCCTGGAAAAAATCTATAATTTCCTGAAACATTTTTTAATTAACATGTTTCTATGTGATGTTTGGCTTTGTCCTCTCTGAACGCTGCGCTCGTCAGCACGGCAGGATTCAGGTGAATGGCTCTGCTAAATCTCACTTGGCAGCCACTTCAAATTTGTGTGTATTCTTCTGTTCAGCTCATCCCACCATCATTCTATTATTCTACGATCTAAGACAACACAGAGTAGAAAATTAAAATGCTATCATAACATTCATGGAATTCCCATCACCCTGAGCCTGGCTGATAATGGGAGCAGATTAAACTGTGCAAAAAAAAGTCTGCAGCAGTTTTTAGTGCCACAGTTTTCTTGAATTGACCTTGTTTCACCCACGGCCTCAGAGCAGTATTAGCTGTTAAATCTTTTGGATCTGCAGTAACAATGCTCACTTACTGGTTTTTTCTGACAAGCAATAAATAGTAAAAAGAGAAATGATGGCTACAAAATGTTCCAGTTAAAGGTGAGATAGAAGAAATGCTATGCAGGGGAAGGAGAAGAATCTACTCCCAGAGATGCTATCAGTAGATTTTTTTCAGATGTGGTCCTGTTTATTAAAACTGAGATAGAACTGTCTTGCTGCTTTTGTAGTTTGCAGACCCCGGTGCCTTCAGCCCCTGGCATCCATTCAACCTACAGTAGCAGCGCTACAGTGTAAACCTGGTGTCCAGGCTTCCCTGGGGAGCCAACACATACCCACGGGGAGCAAGCTCAGCCCCACACTAGCGTGGACAACAGAGCAGCAGTCTCTAAGGAGTCAGGAGTGGTCACTCTAATCCAGCAAGGGCCAGATGGCGGTGCATTTTTAGCATAGGCTGACGCTCAGGAAAGGGACACTGCCAGGGCCACCAAGGAAATATATCTAGACCTATATCTAGACTTTCAACAGTCCTTGGGTATCCACCAATGTCTTTCAAAAAACAGACAGCCCCATCAGAAGGCGAGGGCTGCAGAAAAATGAATGAAGGCCCCGTACAGGGTTTCTATTGCCTCACCACGAGGCGATGTTCCTCTGAAAGCTGTACGAGGTCCAGTTTGGATTTCACAGTAGATCTGAAGAGCTGTATCGGAGCTTTAAAAAGAAGCATGAGCAGAAGGACTGGAAACTTGTCCCTGAAGAAAATGCCGGACGCCAAAAGGAAGACCTTTTGGATACAGTTCTGACTCAGAAGAGGCTTGGAGCTCTGAGCAAAGGCACTGCCTTCTGCTTTTGGTCCCTGACACGCTCAGCGATCCAAGGCTTCATGTGTATTCTACAAGGAGGGCTTTCGTTAAAATGGTAGGTAAAACCTAACGACGGTACAGGTCCTCTGAGGGGCAGA